CCACGTCAACGCTCGATGATTCTGAATTCGGTAAAGAGCGAATAACCAGAAAGATTACAATTCTTAATGCACTTAAAATTTACTATTTTGAATTTTAAAAAACTGACGTCGGATGCGTAATCATCGACCACGAAAACACTCAAGCAACGAGTTTAAAGGGAATCTGTTGAAATTTTTTTAATTTGTAAATCTGGCATCGAATTCTTAATTAGCAACCATAAAAACCCCCAAGAAACGACTTTGAATGAAATTCGTTGAATTTAAACAAAAAATTTCGTTATATTTGATCCGCCATTTTGAATTTTAAAAATCTGACGTCTGATTTGAAATCAGTGACTCCGATAATCACCAAATAACGAGTTTGAAGCTATTTTTAGTATACTTAGGCTTTTAGCCACAAAAAAGGTTCTCCTGGACCACTATGCATTATTTCGCTTATAATTTTTTTAAATTACAAAATAAGCAAAAATGGGCAGATTAATCTAATGCAATATATTAAATTTAGATGAGATATCATGTTTACCTTGGGGAATATAATGCGGAAGTCAGTGGCGGATCCAGGGGGTGTCATGACCCCCACCCTGGAACGAAAAATTTACATAAAAAAGGTTAGCTAATTATGGTCGTCGCTCGCCGCATCTATAGATGACCCCCCCTTGGAGTAAATTCTGGATCCGACACTGGCGGAAGTTAGGAGAACTATCAAATGAATTTTGAAAAAGGAAAATTTAACAATATATCAAATGTGCTTCATTTTTTATTACATAAACTATTTTTAAGTGAGAAAATTAATTAATTTAAGAAAGAAATAAGGAGACCAAAATTTGTCTTTGTAAAAAATGATATTCAAGGAAAAAATTTTCTCCTTATTTTGTATATAACTGCACCAAATTAAAAAATGGGCAAATTTAATTACACGGAGAGAGAATATATATTAAATTTTGTAAAAATATTTTCAAATTGGGGAAAAAGTGCGACAAAGCGAAATTTTGATATCAAAAAATACTAAACTTTAAAAAAACTTATGTAAAATTTAGTATAATTATATCAAATATCAAGAATATTAATTAAATTCTAATATAACTTTACTAAATTTCATATAAGTTTTTTTAAAGTTTAGTATTTTTTGATATCAAAATTTTGCTTTGTCGCACTTTTTCCCCAATTTGAAAATATTTTTACAAAATTTAATATATATTCTCTCTCCGTGTAAAAGTACATTTAATTTAGAAGATATTCCATGCTTAGTTTGTTCTATATCGCGCGGAAGCTAGGAAAACTAACAAATAATAGCAAGTGCATTTCAAAAAAATAAATATTTTCCGACGTTAAATGTGCTTGATTTTTTAAAATATAGTGTTTTTTAATTTATTATAAATATTTTTTATAATAATGCATATCATTTTTATTGAATTTTTACTTAGTTTTATTCTAGGAGAAATAAAACAAATCAATTTAATATAGTACACAGAACAAGTATATTTATTTTAATAGTAAAAGCAAGACTGAGCAATGTTTAGAAGTATACAGAATGACTGCTTGTAGTCAACTAACTCATACCTGAAAAGGGTTTTTCGCAATTTTACTCATTTTACTTGAGACATCCAAATCGGTCTATCGAAAAGTGGGAGGTTTGCATGAACCCTTAAGATATTTGCTAGACATCATAAAGGTGAAAGTTTTACAATTTTGTTATTTTTACTACTTTGCCTGCACGGAGAGAAATCTGTTGCTCTTAGCGCATGAGCAGGCCGTACTAAAAGCGCATACACACCACCATGTGTAAGTTGCAAGAAAACCATGCTGATTTTTCATGGATTTGAGCAACTGTGGCACAAGTGGACACAAGCTGTGCAAAGTTAGCACCGGCCTTTGCAAAATTAGGTACAGACGTCTGTGCGAAAAGCGAACCAACATGTCTCTAGCATTATTCGTAACACATTTCTCTCCGTGTGGAAAGAACATTTTTAATCTTCTACACTTAGATTTTAGCATGTTTAAGTTTTTTCCAAACTACATTAAAATATAATCCTAAATTTAAATCTTATTCTAAATTTATAATCTCAATAATTTTAATGAAATAAAATTTAAAAGTCAGAAAAAAAATCATTTATAGAAAAATAAATAAATATTTTAGTCGGCAGAGCCCTTTAAATTTTTTAATCAAACTTTTCAACAAACATCTAAAATATTTGACAAATAACTATAATATTCTACAAAAAGTTACATAAAATAATATAGATTTAGGTTATTATAATTATGTAACATTTATATTTCTAAAGTGGACTTTTGTCCGCTTTTGGATGCGTACTGGCCCACTGTGAGCTGGATCGAAGAACCGGCTCTTCGCTCGGACCGCAATGCAAGCGCTAATGCCAGTCGGGTAGGAGTGAGTGGCCCAGAGGCGCTCACTGCCACCCGACTGATATTAGCGCTTGCGGTCCGAGCGAAGAGCCGGTTTTTCGATCCAGCTCCTCAATTACTTAAAATTGAATTTACATAAATTTTTAAAAACAAAATCAATTTTATAACATTTTTTTAAATGAGTTTCATAAATAAAAAAATCCCTTTATAGGAATTTAATTCTTTTCATAAATAATAAAACTCATCGCAGAATTTCAATTATTTTTAATACAATTTTAATTAAATTCCTCGAAGAATACAATTATTCCTAAACATTTTATTAAAATTCGTCGAAAGAATTTTATTATTTTTAAATTTATTGATAAAATTCTTCATAAGAATTCAATTTTAAGAAAGATTTAATTAAGGGGCTGGATGCTATAAATTATTTTTGTATTTAAATAATTGAGTACTCGCAGAATTTTCTAATAAAAATGTATTTAAAAGTTAATTTCACTATTTCAGTTAAAGTTTTAGATAATTGTAGTTGAATATTAAAAGCATTATATGTGTATGTCCACATGAAAAGGGCTTATTTTGTCGGTTCTAGTTTTCGAGATAATCGCATTTTAGTAATTTTGGAGCAAAATCTTAATTTTTTTTTTATTTTTTATTATCAATCTACATGTTTTGACAAGTCGAATCATGCGGTTTTCATTAATTTATCGATAATTTAACTGTTTGATTTCATTGGTTCTTTAGAAAAAAGAAAAGGGCCCATTTTGTCGGTCATTTGCAAAAGTAATCAGTATTTTAAAAATTGAGGTATGGGAAAATTTAAAACCTCTTGATTTTTCATCTCTAAGGTGCCCTGGACTGTAAACAATTCTCATCTGAATAACTTACCAGAAGAACCAGAGATATTGATGTTAGAGTCTTTGTTTTTGTAGTCGTAGAAAATTAATTAATTTTGTTTTTCTCGAAATGAGGTTTTGGCGTTCTAATCTTTAAAATTCTGTAACTCATGGAATTTTTCACCAAAAAAGTTCTATGATCACTCAAAATTTTCCAAATTTTGCAAGGAATTCGCCTATGTAGATAAGTCCAATAGTGCCAAAATTGGCCCTTTTCATGTGGACGTCCATATATGATGAATTTACAGAAATAATTGAATTTTGAAAAGCGTTTAAATTTAAATTTTTGAAATTCTGAATTTATCATACTTTTAATTAACAATTATGTAGAACTAATTTTCTTTTAATTTTAAATGATATTTTTTTGAAAGTAGGTATTTTGAAGGTAAAAGAAGTTAACAATTTTTCCGGATCAATCTCACAAATAAATCTCTTGAATAAGCTTATGAGTTTCATATGTGTCGACAGCATAGCTGCCCTAATACAGAAACCTGCTTAATCTGAAAAATATTTTTCGAAATTAATTAATAATTTCAAAATTATCAAAGAATTCAGAAAAAACGGGAGCATGTTGGGATACGAGCCCACGGTCAGAGCAGTCTACCGGCAATAAAAAGGTCGTGGGCTCGTATCCCACCATGCTACCGTTTTTTCTGAGTTCTTTGATAATTTTGAAATTATTAATTAATTTCGAAAAATATTTTTCAGATTAGGCAGGCTTCTGTATTAGAGCAGCTGTGCTGTCGATACATATGAAACTCATGAGCTATTCAAGAGATTTATTTGTGAGATTGATTCGGAAAAATAGTTAACTCCTTTCACCTTTAATATTGATTACCGAATGATAAATTCATTTCCCTTAATTAGGTATTTTAAGTTTTTATTTTCTAATATATTTGAAGAATTTCCGAATAATCGAAATTCGTATAAAATTGAATTGTAAATAAATGGATTTGAAAATTCTCAAAGAACTTTGTCAAAAATTATTTAAACTAATTGATTTAATGAAGAATTTTAGTTAAAAAAAAAATTGTAGAAAAGAATAATTGAATTGAAATAATATTGAAAATAATTTTGAAGAAGTTACAGTAACAATTTTCTTATAAGTTATTGAATTTCAAAAGGTTTTGAATTTGAAATTTTTGAAAATCTTTATTCATATGAAAAATAATAATGATTAAATATTTATTGTAAATAAAACTGTTGATGTTTTCGAATAATTTTACATTCATATAAATTCGCAAATAAATGTATTAGAACATTTTTTTGAGTATATAATAATTTTTAGAGTAAATCAGAATATTCCTTAGGGCCAGGGAAAAAGTAAAAATATTGTCTGGAATTCTGGGAAAAGTCAGGGAAAAGCAAAATTGCTGCAACCCTGTTAAAATCGAGAATAAGTCGAAAATTAAAAGAGAAAAATTTTCGACTGTGAAAAAAAAGTTGACTAAAGTTTGTAGATTTCTGCAAAAAGTCTGAAATTTCAGATTTTGTTTGAAACTAAAATACTCGAGAGAAAATTCATCCCTTTTTTCTTATCTTAATAAAGTTTTGCGAGAGGAAATTTAAAATTTAAAATTGAGTAAAGCTAGTATACTTTATTTGTATTATTAATTACTACGGGATAATTAACGGTCCGCGAAGTTGCCTTTTCTCTCTCAACAAGAAACTCATCACTTTCGATATCACCTGGAATAATTAAGTTATAAATATTGTCTTTCTCTTTTTTTATGTCTGCTTTACTTTTAAGTCGTGAAACTTCCTCGGCAAGTTTTTTTGTTAATTCACAATTCCATTGAGATTGTTCCATAATTTTTTTTTCACGATTCAAATTTTCCTCGAGCTCAATTTCCGCCCAGCCAATAGACAAAATCCTTTGATAGTCACACTCTTCCCCTCTACTTATTACTTTCAATCGTTTTTCTTCAAGTAATTTTTCAGTGGCTCTCGCCTCACAAATTGTTTCATTTTGCTCACAAATTTTCTCCATTTCTTTTCGCTTTACCCATTCCATAGCTATATGAATTTTTTTCTTTTCTGTTAAAAAATGTAAAACACAAAATTCTGAAACTTCAACCTCTTGTGGGTTGAAAAAAATGAGGTTTTTGATTGTTTTTTGTTTGTTGATAATTTTGACAAGTGGATTCGTCCACAAAATGTTTTTTTTTTTTTTAATTTTGAAAAAATCTTTTGTTGAATTTGAGATTGTGATTTTGTTTATAGTGGATGGAAAGTGTGGGAGGTGGAAGAAAATTTCCATAAAGCGTAGCGGGATTCTGCGAATGGGGAGGATTTATGGGCGAATCCACGGAACCGTGCGATTTAAACATAAAAATATAAATATTTTTAAATTACAAGCACACTTTTTATTTTTAGATATATATGTTCGAAATTTATTCAAGAACAAAATTTTCTGTGCGTGAATCATTTTTATTTACTGCTGAAAGCATTGTAATTAAAAAAGTATATTGAAATTTTGATTGACAAGATGTCATTTTTGAACTGAAAAAACAAATGAAGACAACTGAAATATGTTTAATAATCAATTATATTCTAGTCGATTTTTCTAAGTAGAAAGTTTTTACTACAAATGTTTTTACCTATTTTTATTTATTTCTTATAATTTACTTCAATAGGAATGATTGTTTATTTGTATATTTATTTTATATTTCTTTTACGAGTTTTAAAGTGCAAACAATAAAATTATAACTTATTTAACCATTCAAAATCTTTATTTTCATAAAATATTCTTAACATTTTACTTTTTAAAACTTTTTTAAATTGAAAATCAAAAGATTATTTGCTTACCATTGTGAAAAATATTTTCTAACCCGTATTTCTAGAAATTGACATTTCTGAATATAAACAAACATATCGACCTTCCAATAATTGAAAACTGATATATTCACACTTATGAGATCGAGTCTTTTAAAGATGAAAATTCCACAACATTTTTATATTTAATATTTTTAAAATGTTTTAATTGGAATACATATTTAGCATTTAGAATCATGAATATTTATAATAATATCTACCGTTCACACAAAGTTTCAACTGATTATTTTTTAAGCTATAAGTGTGCCATTAAAAAAAGTATAAATTTATAATCATTCACGTTTGAAGGTGTAGACATAATTATTGTTTTATTATCTTTATTTTTAAAGGCACACGGTTAAGTAAGGTCTAAATTTATTAATTTTTTCATAAGGAATAAGCTCTTTCAAAAAAATTAGAATTGCATTACCGCTGAAAGCACAAAATGAAAAAAACCTTGGACTTTCTGTTACTGAAAAATGGGAGTAACATTGCTTGAATTGCTGCCATTTAGTTTTAATAAAGGAGCACATATTTCTTTTGATATGGAATAGATTTTAAAATATTAGAAGAATTATTTACAACTTTTCTTGGGCGATTTTAATTTACGCTGAAAAAGTTATACACGTTTAAGTCGAAGAGAAGCCCAAAGTAACAAATCAAATTTAATTTTTTAAGTACACATATGACTATTTATTTTGAATGAAGATTATACAAATTATGGTTTTATTTGACTATTTTGTTTTATATGTTATCTAAGAGACATTGACATTAAAAAAAATTATATAATGTTAAAAAAAATTGTTTAAATGAGGAGCAACATGAAATCACACGGTTCCGTGGATTTGCCCTTATAGTGAGCTCTTAGCTGTCGGAAGGAAAGTAAACAGGTTGATGTCGGGTGTTATTTACTACTACGTTGTTGCAAAACCGCATTTCGTCTATACGCATCCCTCTAGTTGAATCCTCCCTGGATGCTGCGAGGGATGCTGTATCACAAGAATCTATTGTCTGAAAGTCCGTGCGTTTTGCACCAGTTTCAAGATGTATATGTACATATACGTAGAGAGAGAGAGAGAGAAAAACACGTTTCAAGGGACTTCTATTTTATGAGATAAACACTGAGACAAAGTCACGTACATTATATGAATATATATAGAAAATTTGCACCTACAAAATATGCACATTATACACGAGAATAACTTCACGTTCGCAATTTGTAAGAAAATACACCATAATCCAATAGGATCTCTTTTTATCGTATCTTCCCTTTTTGCGAATTTTTAGCTGTGATTAAAAAAGCAAAACGCGTCGAATTTTTTTTCTTCCAACTAATTAAATTTAATTACAATTTATACAACAGCAGATAATTTAAATACCTTTTAAATTAAATTCGAAATTTATTGTAATTTTTTTAGTCTAGTTTTACTAAATTAAATAAATTTAGAATTAAGTGTTTTTTTCTATTTTGTGAATTCAGTATAATTTTTTAATTTAAATTTTTTGTTATTTTTTATTTTAGTCAATTTTGAGTAATTTTTTTTGTACGTAAATTAGCTTCAATTCTTTTTTGATTTACAATTTTGGTTTGGTTCGATTAAATGTTCTTTTCAACTTAAGTAATTTACTGATTAAAATGCACCCAGAAAAAAGATATATTTGACTTCTATTTAATCTAATAAATTGTTTGTTTGTTTTTAATAAAAATTTTATTTCGCACAGATAAAATTTTTATTTGAATAATTCAAATAAAATTTATTTGAAACAAAAATTTCGAATTCAAATAAAATTATATTTTGAATAATAAATTCAAATTCGGGTAAAATAATTCTTCGAACAAAGAGTTCAAATAAAATTATTCTTCGAATATAATTGTTCTTTGAATAAATTCAAATAAATCATATTTGGTTTAAAGAAAACATTTCTTTGGATGTGAAATAAATTTCTTTATAGTTAACTCAAAAAAATTCCAAGTTTACAATTTGTAGTTTCTATTTGCTTCTTGTTAAAACCGTTTTCTGTACTTAATAAAAAAAGCCCTTTTTTAGCTTTTTGTATTGCAAAATATTTTGTAGTTATTTTCAATCATACTCCAGTGTGTAATTTAATCCAACTACGATAAAAAAGTGTGTCGATATAGAGACCTGGTGAAAATCTTTCCGCACATCCCCTGCCCCATGATGTTATTCCAATGAGTATTTTGTCATCGTTTACTAATGGACCTCCTGAGTCGCCCTATGATCGACAAAATTTTTAAGAACCATTTTTTTATTCAATTAACTAAAAAGTGATGACATTGAAAAAAGATATTGTCTAAATATGTAAACAATTTTTCTTTTAACTTTGTTTGCTTTATGTACTTTGAAAATAGTAATATTAAACGTACCCGGCAACTGTCTTTTCCACCTTGCCTGAAGCCATAACAGACATCACCTACGTGAACTTTAAAGAGTCCTTTGTAATCTTCTAAACAGTCCTCCATACTCACTTTTGGTACTCTGAGATATTGTAATTGCCTCGCCACTACGGGATTGTCTGCCTAAAAGTATTATTAACTTTTATTAGAATTTCTTTTGTTACTTAGAAAAATATTTTTCTTGATAATATTTATAGATTTTTTCTGAATTTGTTTTTAATTTTTTTTTGTAGTTTTGTTTCTAAATTTTCTCCTAGCTTTGTTTTCGATTTTTCTTCTAAATTTGTTTCTAATTTTTCCTCTAGACTTGAATTTCATTTTTTTTCTTTTACTTTTATTTTTAATTTTTCTTCTAGATTGGTTTCTAAGTTTTTTCTAAATTTGCTTTTCATTTTACTCATAGATTTATTTCTAATTTTTCTTCCATATAGATTAATATCGTAATTTTTTCTGTATTAATTTTATTTCTAACTTTTCTTCTAGATTTTAATCAAATATTTTTTCTTTTAATTTTATTTCTACTTTTCGTTCTAAAATTTGTTTCTATTTTTTTTCTAGCGGCTAAACTATTTGACCTAGAGAGCTCAAATTTGGTACAGATATGTATTTTCACACGTAGATTACAGAAAGAATATAGAGAACTTGCTATGTAATAATGGCCATAGCGTTGTCAAGGAGAAACTAAAAACTTTTTGAACACTGAGAAAACTGGAGAGTCAAATTCAGAGGTTCAAAAAGTGTATGTTTCCTTTGCTTATGAAGAGAGTTAAATAGTCCTTCTAAAATAAATTTTGAATTGATAATGGAAATCTACTTGTATATTCTCTCCCATTATATCTGAGGGTTAAAAGTTGCGCAGAAAATGTGTACGATCTGATGCGCGCGAAATTATTTTTCTGACATTTTATGTATTTAATTTAGGGGTTAGGTTGCCATATTTATTCATTTCGCGCCGGATAAGGAAGGGATTTCTCAAGATGGTTAATTTGTCCCTCTGTTAGAGAAATGGCACGAATATCTGTCAATGGTGTATTTGAACATTTAGATTGTTATCCAATAGCTAACTCTCAAATATCAACGATTTGTCCCTCCAGATGTTTAGTCGAATACTCCAGTTTTCTCAGTGAACAATTTTTTTATCCCACAGGCACGAAAATGGTGCTTTTTTATGCGTCGAAAGAGGACGTAAAAGAACTCATTTTTCTCTGCCGGTAAAAATTGAATTCTTGTTCTCTCTAGAGGAAAAATACTGTGTAAAAAAGCAAGGTCACATCAAAAATGGCTCTATTTTATTACTCTTGACTAACGTTGTATCGAGTTTCGGTAGGGTCAAAGTAATATGAAACGGGTAATACATTCTGAACCATCCTTTCTTAAAAAAGACATGGAGTGGAAAGGTCGAATGTATCGAAAAGTATCGAAGTAAAGAATGGGCAATGAGAATGTAAAATCTTAATAGAAGGGTGTTTTTAAAATTGTTTGTACATGTGAAGGTGGCGCTGCAGTCGTATGTTATTTAAAAAGAGCGCGAATATATAAATTTTATTTTTGTTAAGAGAAAGTACTCATAATAAATCTTATTTTGCATTGTCAAAAAAAACGTCAACATTTCAAATATAAATAAGCAAATTATTAACTGAAAAAATTTGAATATTATTATTAATGAAATAATGGACTTGGACAATGGACATATAAAAACTAGCACCGTAGACGGCCGCTTGCGGCCGTCGGAGGAGCTAGTGAGATAAAAGAAGACAGATATAGTCACGTGATGCCGCGTACCTAACCTTCTCTCACACAATTGCAAATGGCTGCCTACCTTTCTCGGCTTTCTCGTGTTCGGTGTTCGTCGTATTATTTATTCCCATAATTAAATCTTTAAAAAAAAAATGAATCCTAATGTGCCAAAAGAAATTGCCGAAATGGCAGAAGAAGCGCGAGGAGACATTCTGCCTGAAAAATAAAAAAAAATTACGAGGCGTCGTATGCGTCCTTTGTAAAGTGGAAAAATTCTAATAATGTGCACGAAACAAGTGAAACAGTTCTCCTCGCATATTTCAAAAACTTGGCGGATAAGTATAAGCCACCGACATTGTGGTCTCATTATTCTATGGTCAAGTCAATGATCAATTTAAATGAGAAAATTAACGTAGAGAAGTTTCTCGCAATACTCGCGTTTTTAAAGAAAAAATCCCATGGCTATTTATCCAAAAAGTCAAAGGTATTTACCACGGATGAAATAGAGAACTATCTAAATGTTTTTCCTGATAATCAACATTTAGATAAAAAGGTAAGTTTAAGTTTTTCTTATAGATATTTTTATTCTTCTGTACAAAAAAAAATTTAATAATAAATAATATAAAATAATAAAAAATAAAATTGTGTAAATAATAAATGTAAAATATCAACATAAAATAAAATAAGTTATTAATATTAACAATTGATTAAAAAGTTTCAAAGTCTCTAATAAATAATACAACAAATAAAAAAAATTGTAATTACAAAAATAACGCCTTTTATTAATAATAAAATAATACTTATTTACAGGTTATCATGATCTTTGGGATATTCGGTGCTCTGCGAAGCGACGAATTGGTTAAAGTTAAAGTTGAACATGTGAAAAAGCAAGGAGAAATTTATCATGTTATTGTCCCAGTGACAAAAAATATGATGCCAAGGTCATTGACTATTACTGGTGAATTTTGTAAGTACGTGGAAAACTATTCGAAACTCCGTCCGAAACTTGCTACTGAGGATAGATTCTTCTTGAACTTTCAAAATGGAAAATGCACCGTACAGGTAACAATAATAAATAATAGTAAACAATAGTAAACAAAATATAAAATAAAAAATTTAATAAATAAAATAATATAAATAAATATAAAATATAAATAAATAAAAATACAAACAACAAAATAATAAGAAAAATAATACTTTATAGGCTATAGGAAAAAACAAATTTGCTAGCACTCTGCAAAAAATTGTCGAATTTCTACAACTACCTGATCCTAAAGAATACACGGGTCACAGTTTTAGAAGAAGTTCAGCCACCATATTGGTTGATGCGGGTGCTGATTTGACAGTTTTAAAAAGGCATGGCGGGTGGAAAAGCAGTACAGTTGCTGAAGGCTATATAGAGGAGTCACTGGGAAATAAGAGAAAAATTAGCTCGCTTTACTGCAATGCTATTAACTTGCCATCAACTTCAGATCATTCTGAAAATAGTGCATCACCAAACTCTTGTCTTCAGAATCTTCACTAAAAAAGTTGCTAAAAGATAAAAATTTAAACTTTCAAAATTGCAATGTTACGATTAATTTTCAGTAAACTATGGTAACACTGCCTAATACTCGTTAAAATGTAATTTAACGTTCTCGAAATCTATCAGTCAATTGTTTATGTTTAAGACAGCTAATTTTTTATTTTAAGCGATAATTACAATTTATCAACATTGTCTCGACATTAATTACAATTTTATAAATAATTACTAAGTGTTTAATTGTTTGTAAAAAAGAGTTTATTACAATATAAATATTTTTAACAATGCTAAAACTCGAAAGACTGATTTAATATTTTAAATTCTACTTTATTTAACGTTAACGAAATCCATCAGTCAATTGTTTATGTTTAAGACAGTTAACTTTTTATTTTAAACGATAATTACAAATTATCAACGTTGTCTCGACATTAGTTATAATTTTATATATAATTACTAAATGTTTAATTGTTCGTAAAAAAATTTATTACAATATAAATATCTGTGACATTGTTGAAACTCGAAAGACTGATTTAAAACTTTAAATTCTACTTTATTTAAGGTTTTCGAAATGTATCAGTCAATTTTTCATGTTTAAGACAGTTAATTTTTTATTTTAAACGATAAATACAAATTATCAACACAGACTAAACATTAATTATAATTTTCTGTAGTATTACTATGCATTTAATTGTTTGTAAAAAAAGTTTATTAAAAAATAAATATTTTTGACATTTCATAATGTTTAATTTATACCATATCAAGTTCTTAGTTGTTTTTTTGTGTGAATATTATTATTATTTTTATTAATACTACTAAGTACGCCACCAGGTTTCGGGGAGCTTCGCCCCCCCCATGCGTCCGCTAACTTGGCGTATTATAGCTTGCCATTTTTAAAAATGTCAAAGTTTTTTATTATTATTTTGAGTTGGTTTTTTGTGGTCGGGGGAGACCCCCCGAACCCCCCCGCGCGACAGAACAGGCTTATACATTTCAATGTATATCGGTCAACTAGTCTGTACCATAACTAAGTTTAGGGAAGTTAGTTTTTGTGCCTTTGGAATAAAAAGTATCGTAAGCGCTACGTGGGTAAGCCATTTATTTTCTCGACTGATGTTTGCAGCACGAGTTGTAGGCGAGGGCGCCCTCGCCTACAACTTGTGGTGCAAACATCAGTCGAGAAAATAAATGATACGCTTTACCCACTAGCTGCTTAATGTACCCAGTAAAAAAAAACTAATTCAAATGAATTGAAACGAATTAACATTTTTGGTAGGCTCCAATTCGTATTTGTCACAAAGCGGGATTCACTCAAGCTCTTTGTATATTCAATTGAATTTAATTTAATATGTACCAATCTGTCCAAACGAATTCGCATTCGAAAGAAATGGCCAAGGAATGCATTGAATTCGTGCTAACGAATTGAAAAAAAATTAAAGGCTCAAAACTTGTCCAGTGAATTGGTACGGATAGAAGGTTCGGAAGTTCAATACAGTTTCACGAATTCAGGAAAATTGCATCATGGCTCCAATTCGTATTTGTCACAAAGCGGGATTCACGAAAGCTCTTTGTGAATTCTTTTTAATTCATTTCAATTAGTTTTCGTTTACTGGGTACTATTTTCCCCTAACTTATACATTATTTGACCTAACGAGCTAAAACTTGTCATACTAGTGTATTTTTACAGTCTGATCACAAAAAATTTATTTAAAAAAATTTTTTGGTACCAAAGGATCTAATAATTAGTGTACGAAACCCGCCATTTCAGTGTTTAACTTCTTTTTTGAATAATTGAAACAAAATTTTTAATAACATTTTTTTTGTTTACCATAAAATATCCCCAGCCTGTAACAACGCCCCAATCACTTTTGAAAGGAACTCCTTTTGCCGGTAAATTCAAGGGTTGTGTTACTGAACTAAATTTGAAAATTGGCTTCACTTTAAATACAGCAATATCGTCATGATTATCGGTGGTTTCGTATTTTTCGTGCCATATAATTTTTGTAATTTTGTGGATCACTCCACCTTCGTCGACTAATGAGCTCCCACTTCGGATTGTCACTTCTTTATATGGATCCCGACGATATCTATTCAAAAAATAAAAATATTAATTATTATTTATGTAGAGGAGAACGGGGCGAGGCAGTAAAGACGGCACATTTTGGTTTGCGAGGCAGTTATTTAAATAGGTTTTTTCAATTTTAATATCGCGTTAGAAAGCTTGTCTAATTGGCTAAAAAATCGCCATAGAACATTTTGACGTAGGTTGCACTTAAAAATTTCTACAACCCTTTTCCCAAAGGACCACATTTTGTCATATTTGAAAAAACGTGGGGTGAGGCGGCCAACTATTTTAATAGTTAAAAAAACACAACTTAAAGTTAAAATTAGTGAAACATAACAAGGTAGTTGTCCTTAACTTACTTTTATTTTGTTAGTAAACTTCAAAAATTTACATTTGAATAATATTATAATAATAAAATTAATTAAATTAAATTTAACATTTTAAGGAAATATAAATTTGTTATTCTTAAAAAATGGTTTATAAAATTCAATGTTAAGTTTAAAATGTATTGGAGTAGGAAAAAAAGAGAAAACATTTAGAAGAACCAATAAAATCAACACAAAAAGACGAAAAATTTAGTGTTGGCTGCCTAACCCCACGAGTACTTTTTTAAGAAAACATACACAAAACCCGTAATATTAAAAATATCGCAATTTCATTAATACCATCGTCTTCAGCACTAAATTCTGCATTAAAAATCAGTTTACAAGAATTTTATTCATGTAACTCTATTAACTAAAATCACCAAAATAACTCTTAGAAAAGTTACATCCAAAAGTCTGTTTTCATAAATGATACTGTCACTACTACACTGTTAGAAATATCTATATGAATTTTCAATAACATGTAAGTGAAGTCCATATCAATCCGTGTCATTGAATTTTTAGTTGAATATTCAATAGCAACTGTGATTGAAAATTCAATAACATGGAACTGAAAATTCAATAACATGGAATTGAAAATTCAATAACATGAAATTGAACATTCAATAACATGGAATTGAAAGTTCAATAATATAGAATTGAAAATTCAATAATATGAAATTGAAAATTAAGTAAGTTTGACCAGTATTGTGTATAGGTACATACACTGTAAAAATTTTTTTAGAGAAAATTCACAAAAATTTCTTCTTTTCTGTGAATTTTACAATTAATGATGAATATTTACCAAGATTGAAGAAAATAATTGTAGTTTATAGAGATTCGTTTTATTTCACAAAATATGTTTGATTACAAAACTATTTAACAAAATATTTTTCACAAACCATAACAAACAATTATGAAGAACAATAATAAAATAGTATCAATATTATATTAATCATAATTACACTAACAATAAAATTACTTATCCCTAGAAATTGAAATTCGTCGAAATTAACTGATGTACACAAGTAGATTAAAAATTCACTATTGCGGTTCAATAAATAATAATAAAATATAATATTATAACATATTTATTTTGAATTAAATTTTAAACACTCATTTTTTATTTCAAACACTGTAAAAACAAGAAGAGTTTCACGCGCGGATGTATAGTTCCTATGGCAAATGCTGTAAAGCAACTGACGCTAAAAGGACCTTTTGTCAAAAACTTCTAAGAAATTGTAGAAATTTTCCAAACCAGATGTGACAAACATTTCAAAAAAAAAAAATTTAAATAACAGTATTGAATTTTCAATAACAGTAATGAATTTTCAATAACTGCGTTTGTATTTTCAATTACAAACCAATTAATATTCACTTCAAGTTCTTTAATTTTCAATTCAAGCTGAATTGATTTAAAATTCAATAACTTATGTAATTGAAAAGTTGTTGAATTTTCAATTCTTTTCTAACAGTGTAAACTGCTGCAGCAATAATGCCCATTTGTTAGCAACTAAAGTAAACTACCATAAGCAGTCTACATTATCAATAGCGCACGATTTGAAAAAATTATGCAGAAATAAGAAGCAATTGGCTGCCTCACCCCGTTGGCTGCCTCGCCCCGTTCTCCTCTACTATTTATTTGTAACGGGAGAATTATTTTCACGTTACGTTCCTTCTCAAAAAGTCAGTCGAATATCCTAAAATTAGGAAAAGGGGTTGCGAAAGTAATTATTCGCTCCTGCGTTAAAAATCGACCCAAGCGCGGTAATTTTGATCGATGGCCGCATTGACAAAAATTGAAAAAGGCCATATCCTCACTCTTTGTTCCGACTATTGTTTGAGTATGATCTGTGTGTAATAATTATATTAGATTGTGTGAAATTTTATATTCAGATCGTTTGCACGAAGGAATTGATCGACATTACACGGAGAGACCGAGATTACTAATTTTTGTATAAAATCACACTAGAATTTACTATTTTCACATTGCAACCACCGGAAATAAGGGGACTTTTTGTATTTTTTACTATTTTCTACACTAAGTCACTAATCCCGACAAATGTTCACTAAATTAGCAAAGTTTCTTACTATTTCGTCCAATAGTTCCAAATAACTGTAGTAAACTCAGAAGCATTGTGTACGTAAAATTAGTACAGTCGTTTGTAAATGCAGAAAGAAAGAGCGAAAGAAAAAATACGGATTTTTGTCGCCGGTTTCCCGTCAATTCTTGACTAATGGAGATGAACTGGAAGGATTTTTACATACACAGACACACACACACACACTTATATATTTGTTGGATAAATATTTGAAGACACACACCTGTTTATTTCACTTATATGTATAGACGCGGTTAATTAATACACTAATACACAATTGCACGCACGACAACGAATTTCACTGAAAGTATACATCTTTGTTTCCTTATATAATGAATGATGAAAATTTACAGCACTTACGAGAAAGCAGTTTACTTTTAACAACTTATTATAAGACATAGTTCTTGGGACAGGAATAAATGCAAAGTTTATTAATTTATAATGGTCAATTTCTGAGATAACGAACGACCTACGATTCACTTTATATTTAATTATTGTAGATAATATCCAAATTTATTTTACATACGCGAAACATAGTCACTGTCAATGATCGGATGGCATCGGCTCATTTACGGAGATTGACGAAGTTAGCAACCAATAGAAATGCAGGCGCCATATGACTGCACTCGCTAGCCACACTTGCTCACCAAAAATTACTACAGTGGATCGTAGGTTTTAGTGGAAAATGTTTTCATTTGTCAGATTTTGTCTAATTAAATTAGAGAAAACTATAATCAATTTTTGCTACATTTACAACTCTTACACAAAATATTAAAACTTGCTATTTCAATGTAGCAAATTTATCTATTTCTTTTGTAAATTTATCTAATTCTGTAGCACATTATGCTAAAAGTCCCCTTATTTCCGGTCATTGCAACCATTTTTAGTAATTTTTACGAATGTGGGTCTCTCCGTGTATATTTAATTTGTATTTTTGGTTCGACAAGAGAGTCGATATTCGACGGACTAAAAAGTAAGTGATAAGTGTTAAATTCATGAAGTAGTATAAGGAGACCCAACGCCAATAGTTATAGTGACAAAAATCAGCATCATTTTGGGGGATCAGAGTTACTATGAGAAAATGTAATCTGCACAACGTTCAGAAGCAGCGCGCTCATGCGGAGAAAATGTAAAGTACAGAATAAGTTTTAAGCAGACGATATTTTAATACCAAATTTCCACCACAGAGGCGCAACCTCTGAACGTTGTGAGAACACTCATAACTCTGATCCCCCAAATGCAGGCTGATTTTAAACCCGCGTGAGGTCTCCTTATACTACTTCGTGGTTAAATTCATTCTTTTGAATAAATATCTTATTTCCTGGAAGTCGCTAAGTTTTATTTTTATGTTGTTTTGTGGATTCACTGACGTTTCCCTCCCTGTGATATTTTGCTCGTTTTTATTTAATTATTATTGATCTTTGTTAATTTGTGTAAATTAACTGGCGTCCGCATATTTTTATATATTTATTTTTCGCCAAATTAGAGCCCCAGCAGCTTTGAATCCGGCCGCGCTGGGTGAGGAAAGTAAAATTAATTATTTTTTATATTTTATTTAACCCCTAAAAATACTTTCCGTCTCATATTATTATTCTTGATAGTTATTATTATTATTAAAGATGGAAGAAGTTAACAATCACTTCGAATCAATTTTTCTAAGCTTCTTAAATTTCATGTATCGACAGCACCGTTGCCTGAATACAGAAACCTGCTTAATTTGAAAAATATTTTCGAAATTAATTAATAATTTCAAAATTATCAAAGAACTCAGAAAAAACGGTAGCATGGTGGGATACGAGCGGTGCTGTCGATACATGAAATTTAAGAAGCTTAGAAAAATTGATTCAGAGTGATTGTTAACTTATTCCATCTTTAACATTATTAATACCGAATGATAAATTCATTTCCTTTGAATATTATTATTATTATTATTAAAGTAAAGTAAATTATGATTTCATTGTATATCCTTTCGGGTCTTTACAATCTCCTCAACATACTATAATCTCATCACTACTAAACTTTCCTAACTCACAAACTCTTTGGGGTCCCTACTTTTGCGGCTGCAGCCGACTTAGGTTAGGAGTACTCGCATTCGCCTGGACATTTGGCCAGGGGAGAGGAAAACTGCAGAAAACCCACTTCCCGAGTACAACCGGTTTATTGACGTCGAGTCATGAATGTACATTTGGATAGCCATCACAAATGCACAAACATAGCCTAGGGCGTCAAACCTCCCGTTTGATATATCTCGATCAGCGAAAAAACCGAGACTGTAGCGATATTTACAGAGGGTCACCCATCCAAGCAGTAACCGCGCTCAAATGGTGCTTAACCTCTGTGATCGCAAGCCACGAGTTCCGCCAACCGAGCTTTACCATCGGTTTTATTATTATTATTATTATTATTATTATTATTATTATTATTATTATTATTATTATTATTATTATTGTTATTATTACACAGGAAAAAAAGTCTGACTCCGTTTACACCTTAAATTCAGCCCATGTATTTCACATAAGTCTGTCCTTGTTTAACGGGGCTGACTCCGTTTACATCTTAAATTCAGCCTCAAAAAGAGGCTGAAAGTAAAACTTTTTTTTAGTGTGTACCTACTCATTATTTACACGATTAATTATTAATATTTCAATCAATTGTGAGGGTTTAGAAAAATTTTACAAAATAAAATAAAATTAATCGAAGTGAAGATTAAAATAAAATCGAACATTAAAATATAAATTATTTTAAGGCCAGTTGATTTAATAATTTTTATCTCAGAACCATTTTTCTTTTTAATTAAGTGCGTTAAAAAGGCCTAAAACATACAATTATTAAATATAAAAACTAAATATATTTGTAATGAACATTAAAACACAAATTAGAAAACAAATTTGAGACAAAAATAATAATCGAAATATTTGAAATACAAATTTTAAAAAATCGAAACAATTGTTTTTCATAAGGACAATAAATAAATAAAATTGAAAAATCCAGAGAATTGGAATAAAAATTTGAAATAAAATGAAATTGAAATGAAATATGAAATAAAATTAAAATGTCTAGTGAAACGAAATAAAAATTTTGATGTTGAATTAAAATGTTGTTAATGTTTGACAAATCTGGAAGTTAATTAAAAAATTACTTACGCTGTTGCACAATGTGCTGCTGTAATTCCCCATTTTCGACTAATCACTGCAGCTCCACAAACATGTCTACCGTTTAACATAAAGGAGAGCTGGAATATATAAAAGCAAATAAAATTTATTTTCATCTAAATCGAATATAGAAAAGAAAATCTTTGATGAAAAATCTCACCATGTATGGAACTAACGAAATATTAATATCCTCTCCACCAATTATTCGCCTTTGACAAAGAACACTTAACAATTGTACTGAAAAATATTTTTTCACTCAGTAAATAAAAGTTTTAAAAATAGGAGAAATTAATTTCAACTTGTAAATTTAAATCATAATAATTTAAGAAACAAAATAAATTTTCATAATTATACTTTCGTTCAAAGAAAATGTTTTCAACTTAATTGAAAAATTAAGTCATGCTTTTTTCTTGAATTAAATTAATTATTAAATTTATTATAAATATTATTATTATTCGTATTCTTAGTGCGAAAGGGGATTTCTGTCTTTTTGTAAGCCGTATAAATGTGTAAATAAATAAATTATTATGATTACTATTATTATCAAAATTAAATATGATTATATTAATATTATTTCAAGCACCATTCTTATTATTTATTTTTTATTATTGGTGTTTTTTATTTTATTATTGTTACTATTATTTTTATTAAATTGAATATTCAGTTTTAGAAGGCTTTACAAACTATAGTTTACATATAGAAAAAATAATGTTATGCATTAATCTGATAATAATATAAACTATAAATAAGTTCGTAACATTGAGTAAAATATTTAAATTAAAAAATGCAATTTAAACTTTAGAAAATACCATATAGAAAATTTTTTCCGTTTAAAATTTGAAACAATTTTTCATTTTTAACACTATTTCATGTCAATATTGAAAAATTATTCTAACTTAAAGGAAAAATCAATTAAATGTATTTTGTTGTGATACAACAGTTTAGAACAGGAAAAAAAATAACGACAAAATTCAAGAACGTCACATATACTAATTAAAAACATAAAAGTATATATATATTTATATATATTTATAATTTAAATTTTTTATATAAATACTCACGTGTTAATATTGCAATAAAAAGTAAAATATTTGACATGCTTTTTTTAAATTTTTTTAAAATTATATAATGTTTATATAGATACGTTGCTTACACTAGGTGCGTTAAAACTAAAATAAAAAAAGTATTGAATATTTTTCAAGCTTTTAACATTATATTATTGTTGTTCCGGTTTCTATTCTAAAACGATAACGAAGTAAAATTACAAGTTTTTAATTCTTCCCACTTTATGTCCTTATCAGTGGATTTTTTATCAGTATTAAAATTTGATAAGAAGACGTTTTTTCAAAAAAAGGAAAAAATTTTCGAATTTGGCTGATGAAGGAGCATTGATAATAAATTTTCAAAAATTGTTTAAGGAAATGTCAATATACTGAAGGAGGAAATATTTTCTCTTGGTGTTCAGTGATCACATTCTGCTTGATTCTGAACTTTTTAACTGATTTTTTATTATTATTAATATAATTGTTTATTATTAGCATCAATATTACCTATTATTATATTAAAATTAGTATAATAATAATAATAATTAATGAATAATAATTAGGTATAATTGAACCGCCGGATAGTAGAAGGGCATATAGCCCATTTAAATTACATTGGCTATATATGTCCTACGATCCGGCGTAAGCGTAATGAATTTAATTTTCTACATTTTGAACATTTTAAAGTTATATTTAAATGAAAACTATAATTTTTTGTCAATAATGAATGATTTAAGTAATATATAACATAAAATTTAACAAATGTTTCTTATTGACAGAAAATTGTAATTTTTATTCAAATGAAACTTTTAATCGTTTTAAATACCTATTCAAAATTAAATTCTTCGCCTTTTTACCAAGACGAATTTAAAATTTAATTTGTGTTTTTCTTTTAAATTACAAAATTATGACAGTGGACTAACTTTTTGATTTAACTGTCCGTCAGATTCTTCCTTAAAAGGCAACATGTTCATAAGAATTATTATTTAACTTATGTATAACATTGAATTTATAGTATATTTTATATATAAATAAATAGTATATTTATAATATATAAATAAACTCTTATAATAAAAATGTATCTACAATTAAAAAAAAGTTACATAATTTCAACAATTTATATGAGTATATGCATCTTTAAATTTGAAAGAAGTTAACAATTTTCCCGAATCAATCTACACAAATAAATTAAATATCTTAAATAAATCTCGATAAGCTCATGGGCTTCAATGTATCGACAGCACAGCTGCCCTAATACAGAAACCTGCTTAATTTGAAAAATATTTTCGAAATTAATTAATAATTTCAAAATTATCAAAGAACTCAGAAAAAACGGTAACATGGTGGGATGCGAGCCCACGACCTTTCTATTCCCGGTAGACTGCTCTGATTTTTTTTTTTTTTTTTTTAAATTTATTTTTTGATAACAAGATATACATAATATGATATAACGTGAAAAAATTAACAAAAACGTTCTTAAAGATGGTAAGCCTAATTTTACAATTCATAGGCAATTATAATTGAAGGAAGTGAATTTATAATTCGGTGATTAGCAGTCCATGGGCAATAGAAAGGTCGTGGGCTCGTATCCCACCATGCTACCGTTTTTTCTGAGTTCTTTGATAATTTTGAAATTATTAATTAATTTCGAAAATATTTTTCAAATTAAGCAGGTTTCTGTATTAGGGCAGCTGTGCTGTCGATACATTGAAGCACGGAGAGAAGAGTTGCAGTAAATGTGACAGAACGCGTTTAGTAAATCATTTAGTGCACCGGTTAGTGGCACCAACTGTATGTTTAGTATAATACACTACGACACCTCTCTGTTTAGTAGAATATACTGTTTGCTCAGTGTATCTTACTATCTTACTAAACAGTGCAGTAGATGGCACTGTCTGTACCGTCAGTCCAAACCTAACGATTCTGTTTAGTAGATTTAACTGCCATGTCAGTAGAATCTACTACGCCCTTCTCTCCGTGAGCCCATGAGCTTATCGAGATTTATTTAAGATATTTAATTTATTTGTGTAGATTGATTCGGGAAAATTGTTAACTTCTTTCAAATTTATTATTTAATCACCGAATGATAAATTCACTTCCTTCAATATATGCATCTTTGTTTCTCATTTTTTAATTTACAAATATACGGCACTGAATTTAGTAGCGCCACCGCACAGTGGATCAGAATTACAATTTAGTGTTCATAATCACCTATATAGCCTACAATTTTCGATGAAATTTGACTTTCTTTTTTTCTAAATCTTCAGCGATAAATTCCCCACATCGACATTGAGCCGGAATTTGGAATTTCATTTTGCAATATAGTTTATTTAAACAATTAAGTGAAAAATTTAACCTACAATTTCAATATTTGTTGACTTTTTTTGAAAAAAATTATTAAATCAACTATTTAAGTATCTTAACAATAACATATATGTCCAAAGACAAACTCATAATTAAAAATATTATTCTAATTGTTGTTAACAATAGTTTTAAACAAATACCTATAAATAATAAGAAAGAAAGAAAATATTGCTTTTTTTGCTGCAATAATTTAAATAATGGTTTAAACAAAAGGTAGGATAGAAGAATAATTGTTAATAATAATAATTATTATAAATAAATAAAATTAATTAATTAATTAAGAGCTTTTTTTATGTACATTAAAAAATGTTATATAAAAATACTCTGAGATAGGAAATAGTATTCACTTATCTTTCGATAAATAAACATTTAGTTAAATAGTTGTTTAAACAAATTATTGTTATTTATTTATTTTTTAAAATGTTTTTCTAAGGATAATTTGTTTCAATAATGATTAAAAATTTTGACGATTACAAAGCAAAGGTTCCCAGTAAAAAAAACTAATTGAAATAAATTAAAAAGAATTCACAAAGAGTTTCAGTGAATCCCGCTTTGTGACAAATACGAATTGGAGCTATGTTGCAATTTTCCTGAATTCGTCAAACTGTATTGAACTTCCAAACCTTCTATTCTTACTAATTCAATGGACAAGTTTTGGGGCCTTTAATTTTTTTTAATTCGTCAGCACGACTTCAATGCATGCCTTGGTCATTTCTTACGAATGCGAATTCGTTTGCACAACTTTAGGCAAATTGAATCGAATTCAATCGAATATACAAAGAGCTTGAATGAATCCCGCTTTCTACCAAAAATCTTAATTGAGGCCTTGGATCCAATAACTCGCCCGACGCTCGAAGGCACGCGCTAATACCAGTCGGGTAGCAGTGAGTGGCCTAGAGGCGCTCACTGCTCACTGACTGGCAGTTGCGCGTTCCTCCGAGCGTCGGGCGAGTTATTGGATCCAAGGCCTCAATTCATTTCAATCCGTTTGAATTAGTTTTTTTTACTGGGTTCCTCTACGAAAAAGCAGAAGTATGATACCTGAGATATAAAGAAGAAATTACGATCAATCCATATATAATTAGTTAAAAGTAAATAAATAACAATAATTTGTTTAAACAACTATTTAACTAAATGTTTATTTATCGAAAGATAAGTGAATACTATTTCCTATCTCAGTGTATTTTTATAAAATTTTTTAACGTACTTAAAAAAAAAATAAAAAAACTCTTAATCAATTAATTAATTTTAATTATTTATAATAATAATTATTATTAACAATTATTCTTCTATCCTACTTTTTGTTTAAACCATTATTTAAATTATTGCAGCAAAAAAGCACTATTTTCTTCTTTTTTATTATTTATAGGTATTTGTTTAAAACTATTGTTAACAACAATTGGAATATTTTTAATTATGACTTTTGTGTCTTTGGACATATATGTTATTGTTAAGATACTTAAATAGTTTATTTAATAATTTTTTTCAAAAATATTCAACAAATATTGAAATTGTAGGTTAAATTTTTCACTTAATTGTTTAAATAAACTATATTGCAAAATGAAATTCCAAATTCCGGCTCAATGCCGATCTGGGGAATTCATCGCTGAAGATTTAGAAAAAAAGAAAGTTAAATTTGATCGAAAATTGTAGGCTGTAGGTGATTATGAACAGTAAATTGTAATTCTGAACCACTGTGCACCGTACATTGTGGAGTACTTAGAAACTAACCCGATAAGAGCGTAGAATAAAATCTAGAAAATATGCTTGAAAACGAGAATTTTGAATTATTCTGAATACGCGAATTTACCTCGGAGTTCTATTCCACGGAAACGATCAAAATTTCAGAAAAATCAATTCTTCTCTACTGCTCTCGTCGATCGGGAGATAGAAAAGGATTAAAATTTTCTATTTTTCCTAATGCGCAAAGTTTTATGGTATTGCAAGTGCTTGAAAAAATATAAAGTTTTATTCTTTTGAATTGACTGCTAACGATTCTAGGTAGTCAATTCAAAAGAATAGAATGTTCGAAGAGTAAATCTGAAATGTTTATTATTCTCAATTGACTGCATCGAATTTCAGAAGCGCATTAAAAGGAATAGAACTTTTGACAAACAATTTGAAAAATAGTATATTAAGCAACAAGAGGAGAAAGGCAGCCATTTCTTTACGGTGATTTTTGTGACACGAGTGGAGGTCGAGGGCGCCGTAGGCGCCCCGAGACCGGAACGAGTGTCACAAAAATCATTGTAAAGAAATTAGCTGCCTTTATTCTCGTGTTACTTACGATATTTTTTATTCCTAATGCACAAAAGCGGCGATTTCAGATAGCAGACGACAGGGAGTAAAAGTCATTCACTTGTTCGATTTGTATGAAAATGGCGGCCGATTTCTCCCTTGGGCAAGAAAAATGCATGTGAACAGCTAATTTTATTGCCCTTGGGAGAACACGGCCGCCATTTTCATACGGTCGAAGAAATGAATGACTTTCCTCCCTGTCGGCTGCTATCAGAAAGCGCCGTTTTTGTGCATGTGGGATAAAAACCTAATTTTTCTAATTGTCTGTAAGAGCTCCTGTAGTTATTGTCTTAAAATAAAACGCAGTGCATGACAGCTATGTTTCGCGTCGTGTGAATTTCATTGTAATTTCAGTGCTAAACAGCTAAACTATTAAAATTAAATATTGAAACTAGTGAAAATATGGTTAAAAGACGCAAAGTGCTTACGATAAAATATAAAATGCTCTTATTGAAAGAAATTTTCAAGTGTTAAATGTTTAAGTCAAGTTTTGAAACCTAACCTCATCACTTTCTAGTGGAATCT